AATAGGGTTCTCATGGCTGATCTTTTTTGAAGTTGAGTGCGCAGGTTCTTCTTCCTACTCTATCTAGTCTGGAGGCTCTGTTGAAACCTGTCCACCATAGGTGACCCTGCTGGTATTTGATTTACACCAGTGGTATACCTTTCAGCATCACAGCAACATGCAGTTGCCACAGTATGACAACTGATAGAAAGGTAGTGTGGTGCCCTGACTAGGAAACCAATCCGGGCTGCGGAAGTGAGAGCGGGAAATCCTAACCACTAGACCGGGCTGGCTATCTAAAAACATAATCCTAAAAAAATGAAAAGCTTTTTGAGCTTATTTGGAAAAAATCCTCACTTAATACACAAAACTCTGGCAGATGGTCATCCAGTCTTCATGTGAACATCCTCAAGAACATCAAGTTCACCAATAACTCCAGGAAAATTTTAAAAGTAAATGAAAACCTAGAACCCTGTCTAACTCAATCCTCTGGAGGAACCTCAAAAAAACTCCATGACATTCTGCATGCTGTCCCTTAAAATTAACAATACGGCTTCCACTCCTCAGTCTTCTCCAAGGTCAACAAGCTATCACCTCTAGCCATTTCTCATGTGCTATGAGTTCTTGACTCCTCTCTCACTTTCATGGTCACCCTGGCCTTTTCTTTCTATTTCCTGTTTTGGCGGCAGGAGGGTTAGAAGATAGAAGATGGTTTTAAAGTGTTTTTCATGCTGCATATTTCATTTTGGGATTTCATTTCCAAAATACTATTTTTATAGGTTTATCATTCACTTTTGTATTCAACTTAGATTATAGTGCCCTTCTTCTGCCTTCTATAATCTTTTAAAAAATGTAAGTTTACCAAACACATACATTGGATTTCTTATAGTTCTCCTCTGCTTTTCTTACAAAGATGACATTTGATGGTGAAACTACAATCTCTTAGCCCTGGCAAGGCCTTTATTCTATTATACTGTTTTCAAATGAATAAATAAATAAATAAATATTCCTGCCATTGGAAAAAAATATCAAAATGTGGGAAAAGGAAAACTCTTCCTTACAGTAGAAGGAATAGTGGAATCAGAAAATCACTATTTGTTAATAACTGACTCAGGCAAGAAGCATCACTACATGATAAAAGCAGTGAGTGAAACTCTGAAGAGTGACAGCATATTTACACAGTCTCAATGTATTTCACCACGAGATCCTTCTTCATTACAAAGGGTAAAACTTTAAAATGGAGCCTCCTGACAGATGTCACCTTAACCAAATGATCAAAGTTATCACTGCCAGGGACAAGACTAACCAACAGCAAGTACTTCCCGATATGCTTCACTGAGAATTCAGCATCATTTCTTTGCTATTCCTGCCATAGTACATAACCTGAACCTAACCATGAGGAAACATCAGAAAAAGTCAAACTGAATGACATGCTAAAAAAGAAAGAGCTTGTACACTTCAAAAATGTCAATGTTGTAAAATACAAAGAAAGTCTGACAAACTATTCCAGATTAAAGAAGACTAAAGAGATATGACAACTGAATGCAACACATGATCCTGTCCTGGACTTTTTTTTTCTATGTAAGTTTATCAGAAAAAAATACACTGAATTCCTTATATGTTCTATAAATCTTAAATTTATGTCAAAATTTTAAAAAATTTAAAAAGCCACTAAACATGCATAAATTCAAGATAAAGTCTACACTTACTTACTGCCACCAGACTAAGTTTCTGAACCTGTTTAAAAAAAGAAAAAATGGTTAAATAAATTTTCATTAACAAAAACAATTATAAAAACCTAACACTTGAAAATTAAGAATTAAGTTACAACCTCATACATAAATGCACCATACTTTCCTTCCTAAAAAAGATACTTACTGACCCTAATCTTCCTTATTAGGAAAGGTTATATTTTCAACTATTTCACCAGGAGCAGTGATGGAAGGGACAGGGAAACGTTTTCTATAATGGGTCATATGGTAAATATCTTAGGGCTTGCAGGCTATGTGGTCTTTGCCGCAACTAACCAACTGCTAATGTGCCACGAAAGCAGCCACATACAATACATAAACAAATATGTGTGCCTGTTTCAGTAAACTCTTTTTATGGAACAGAAATCTGACTTTTGTATAACTTTCAGGTGGCATGAAATATTCTTCTGATTTTTTTCCCAACCTTTTAAAAATGTCAAAGCTGCCCACTGCAGAAGCACAGAGCTCAGAAGGTCATAACTAGGAATTCAAACCCCAGAGATGCAAGAGTGCCAGGACTGAAAGGGCCCTTGGAGATCAATTAAATATCCTATATTTCTTCAATGGGAGTAGCCATAGCTCCATCCCATGCCAAAATTTTATTATACTGTATCCTGTTAGTGTGCAAATTTTACTTGGAGGTTATTATATCAGAATAAACAAAACACACATGAAAAATAAATAAAAATGTCAAAACCATTCATAAGTCGTAGTTTACACAAAAACAAATGGTGGGCAGGATTAGCTTGCAGGTCGTGGTTTGCTGAGCCCAATCTGTGGTTACTAATGCAGCTATGTGACCTTGAGAAAGTTACTCAGCCTCCCTGTGCTTCAAATTCTTCATCTGCAAAATAAGAATTAAAATAGGTACCTACTTTATGGGATTATTATAAGGATCCAATAAGTAAAATTTGTGTAACACAGTTAGAATTAAGCCAGTCATATACGAAATGCTCAATAAATATTAGCTGCTATCACCACCACCATCACCTATCCACAACTTTTCTACTGTCCTCTACAGAAAAAGCTAATCTGTAGGAAGTCTGACTGGGCACAGTAATATAGTCATGGCCATCAGATAGAGCACCTGCAGCTCAAACTAGAGGCTTGAGTTCATTACTGCCTTTTTTTACTCCCAGGTTATTTTCAGTTTCAGAAGTCATAGCTCACTACATTGGCTTGTCTAAGCAGTGCACAGAGCCCTCAGGTAATAAGCATTCACATGCTATGATGTTATAAGAGTAAATTTAAAAATGCATCACCAGTGTTAGAACTACAGGAGACCTTAAATACCATCTTTATTGGTGATGGCCCAGTGGCACAGCGGTTAAGCATGCACATTCTGCTTGGGTGGCCAGGGGTTCGCCAGTTCGGATCCCCGGTGCGGACACAGCACCAGTGGCAAGCCATGCTGTGGTAGGCATCCCACATATAAAGTGGAGGAAAATGGGCATGGATGTTAGCTCAGGGCCAGTCTTCCTCAGCGAAAAAAGGAGGATTGGCAGCAGATGTTAGCTCAGGGCTAATCTTCCTCAAAAAAAAAAAAAAAAAAAAAAAAACCTTTATTATGACAAAATTTCAATGGAAAGATAAGTAAATTGGGAAATTTTTATAAAATTTACAAATTGTTCTCTCCTAATCATAGAGTTTCTTTGGAAGCAGAGCACACGGAAAATGTGTGTATGTAACAGTGCCAGGAAAAACCGTGCCAAAAATAAGATTTCAACAGCTCTTTAAGTAAGAAAATTAAAAAAGTCAAGTCACACTTCAGGAAGGAAACTTTTCCCAGCAAAACAAAAAGTTAGGGAGCAGGGAACAAGTGTGCAGAATGGTAACAATATGTAACCCCGCGTGATTAGTTGTGTCATTCTAACCCACCCTTTCTCCATTACCAACTCAGGCTGTGAGAAACCCAATTGGTCTCTACCTTGGGGATGGCAACTAACTTTCCACTTCCACTAACTCAACTGGCTCCCAACAACCAGCTCGTCTTGCTAATAATTCATTTGATTTTCACAATCCTTCAAGGAACATAACTTTACGGTTTCCAGAGAAAGAGCTTAATTAACACCAACTATTATCGTTTTCCTCATCAAGAAAAGGTCCCTGCTTTCAGAGAGCATACATACATTTGGAGAAAACAAAAGAAACAAGTGAACAGCAACAAAAGACTATTCCAATGATTGATGAGATACTAAAGGAGAACAACTATCACTAATAAGCAGGAAAGGCTTGGGCAAGTGACTTAATCTTTCTGAGATTCAGTTTCCTAGTTTATATAAGGGTGCTATGGAATACATATCTTACAAAGAAATTGCTGCAAGGCTTAGAGTAAGCGGCACCGTGCCAGACCCTCAACGTTGCGTAGAAAACAGAGGCTCAGGAGACGTTTAAGGAAATTAGATGGCTTTCAAATGCGGACAGTCCCCTAAATCATAATTAATCTCACTCTCTCCAGTTTTCCCGATGTGTTTTAGTCTGAATTTCTAACCCAGCTTGTGTCATGAAGCGCACAATAAAATGACCTGCATGTCTTTCTCAGTAAGAAGGCGGGAGCTAGGGAATTGCCTTAATCACATTTACATCTTCAAGAGAACTTCAATAAACATCTACTGAACAAATATATTGCCATAGACTGAAGCGTTCTCTGGTACTTTCCCCTAGCCAGCCTGCCTCCGAAACTCTCCCCAAGTGGATTGCAAGGGCTAAGTCAGCACGTGGATGTGATGCGTGGTAAAAGGGGACAGGAGGCAGTGAAGGAAGAAAAGGGGAGAAGTAGTCCTTAGCAGGCGGGGAGGAGAGCGGGACCGCCGCCAGGCAGACCTGGGGGCCGGAGAAACTGGGTGGTTCCCGGGAAGCGGGAAAGGAAGAAGTCACTCACATCATAGGTGTGGAAGCTCTTGCCCACGCAGGTCGTCACGTAGAATCGGCGCTTCAGCGCGTTGAACCGCACCACGTGTGGGACGTCGTTGCTGAAAAGCCCCAGGGCCCGGAACCCTGCGAACAGCGCGCTGGCCGTCCGGGATCCTGCGCCCCCCTCCATCGCTGCCGCGGTCCGGGCTCCTCTGGGCGCCAGTCCTGACCGAAACGCGGGCAGCTGGCCCCTCCGCGCGTCTCGCGGCGCAATCCTTGCCCCGGGCTGCAGATTCACAAGCGCTTCCGGTGCCCGCGGCCAATCGCGGCGGCGGAGACCGTTTTCGGTGCAACTGAAAAAGAGCTCCGTCCGGAGCCCGCAGTCGGGGCGCGACTTCGGTTCTGCGAGTCACATTCTCCAGCGCCGTGACAATGCTTCTCAACTCTGCTGGGGCTGAAAGAGGCTCGAGTTCCTGTTCAGGGGGACCTTGGGGGAGGGGAACGACGACGGACTCGCGACGCCCGAGAGCGTGGAGGGGAGACCAAAGTTTTAACCCAGGTGGAGTCAGGTTAAACACGTGGTTATAAAAACGTGTAAAACCATGAGACTACCGAGAAAATTTGAACACTAGTTGGATATTTGATATTAAGAAATTATTGTTAATCTTGTATTGTGATTATGTTTTTAAAGATCCTTATCTTTTGAAGATGCATATTGACGTTTACGAATGAAATCATATATCTGGGGATTTGCTTTTAAAATAATTAGGGATGAGAGGTAAGGTTTAAATGAAACAAGATTATAATTTTTGAATCTGGGGAATGGTTATGTGAGAATTTGATGCTATCCTTATGCTTCCATATAAAATAGAAATTTTCCATATGAAAAATATTTTTATTGGCTTTTTTTTACTGAGTTTTACTGTAACAAAAGATTGGAATATTAACATTATTAGTGTTTTACCTCTGAGTAGTGGAAATACGTACAAATGATTTTAATTACTAGATAGACATTTTTCAGAGTTTTCTAAGTTGTGTATCATGCAGATGTTATTTTTATAATCAGAAACAGACTTCTACGTCTATTGGTAGTTTGGGGAGAAGATTGAAAAAGTTTCCTGATCAGCACTTTACAGTTCACAAAGCCTTTGACACCCATTATCTTAATCTAATCCTCAGATTAAAGCTACTAGGTGTTTAGAGCAAAAATTATATTAGTGTTTTACAAATGAGGAAACTAGTTCATTGGGGTTAAGTGATTTGTACAAAGTTCCAAGATTATTTAGTGCCAAAATCCAGACTATCACAAGGTTTACAAAAGGAGGAGAAGGGTAGATCAGTGAAGGACAGCTGGAGGATGGGAGAAATATGCATTCAGTGATGGGATTTTCCAGACCAACACTGGGCCACGAGATGGGTATGGATTCACCTTAGATAAGGAACCTGAGGTTCCCAGAGATTACCTAACCTGTCCAGGGTCACTTAATTAGCAATTTGAATTTAGGCCTGACAATCAGATTTATGTTCTTTGACCTACATCTGGACAGTGAGACAAAAGTTTAAAAATTAGAAGTGTCATGGAAAATCTAGTAGTATGGAAGCAGTTGATATGCATGTTAGCTGTTGGGCCGTGATTTTTTAAAGGGAGGGTGTTATGAGCTGATTGTGAGTTTTCCAATTTTAACAGTCGGCCAGAGTTCATTTCTTCCCATCAGTCGCCTCCCTGAGTTACTTGCTATTCAGCTGCCAGCAAAATGTATGAATGTATGGTAGGAGAAAAGGAACTAGCTATTACTCTTTTTACTTAGAGATGCCCCCAAGTACTCTAGTGTCAAGTTAGAATAAAAGAAGAGGTAGCTGTAGTAGATCATTGACAACTGATCATTTCCAATTTGGTTCAATGCATTGGGGCTTCACAATATTTTAAGGTAACTAACATATATAGCTATGTCATGTTTCCATTTCTGACTTTTTTAAAAAAGGTTAAATGTGACTGTTTCTGAGTAGTTTATGTAATAAGTATCATTTGTCTTTTGTTACTGACTCCATGTATTGTGATCACTAGCCTCCAAGAGGACCCTCAATGATTCTTACCTCCTGGTATTCATGCCTGTCACACTGAACAGCGTTGGCCTGTGTAACCAGACTAGGTCATAAAATACATTTAAGATTTTTACTTGCTCCCTCTTGGGTCATTTGTTTTGCAGGAAGTCAACTGCCATGTTGGGAGAAGTCAACTGCTATGTTGGGAGGATACTCAAGCTATCCTGTGGAATGTTTTGCATTTCAAGGAACCTCCTGCCAACCACCAGCACTACCTGGCTAGACATGTGAGTAAACCACCTTGAAAGTAGACCCTCTGCCCCAGTCAAGCCTTCAGATGACTGCAACCTTGCTGACATCTTGACTGCAACCTCATGAAAGACTCTGAGCCAGAACCACCTATTAAGCCACTTCTCAATTCCTGAGTCTCACCTGTGTAACATAATGAATGTTTATTGCTGTTTTAGGCCACTAAGTTTTGGGGTAATTTGTTGTACATTAATACATAACCAATATATTTTTGTTTATCTTGCATATCAAATTTAGAAATACTTATACTTCATTTCATTATGTTGACAGAAGCACGTCAGAAACCCAAGGAAGTTTCAAGATCTTTCTTGTCCAACCCCTTATTTCATAGATGAGTGAACTACTATGGACCACAACTGTGAAATTAGGTGGTGGAAGAGCAGGTACTACATATCAGTTCTCCTTATTCTCAAGCCAAGACTCTTTTCACCTTGGGGAGTTCATTCTGGCTGCCCCATTTTCCCACTGGTGGTGGAAGATGTATGAGAATGTCTGTCACTGGTTCAGTAGTACCACTGAAATACACATTGCACTGAAATATTGTTAACCAGCGTAGAAATTAGAGATTAGCCAAATAAGTCAGATCTATCTTTTCCATATATAAGCTTGTACATGTCACTAAAATGTTGTAATGGCAATTCCAGTCTGGAGTTTGGAGACTAAAGGAAATGTCTCTTTTGAGAACTTTCTCTTTTTGAGAAATGTCATTTAAATGTTGCAGCATAGAGAAACCTCTTTGGCAGCAAACCATTTATTTCAACTCTTTTCATGTAAATCCTCTTTTTTATGTGTTAAACATTACTTTCTTCTTTCAAAGTATAGTCATGTGCCCCATAACGTTTCAGTCAACAAGGCTCTGCATATGTGACTACGATAGTGGTCCCATAAGGTTATAATGGAGCTGAAAAGTTTTCATCCCCTGGTGGCAGTTTAGCCATTTTTAATGTCATAGCACAACGCATTATTCATGTGTTTGTGGTGATGCTGGTGTAAAAGAACCTACTGCACTGCCAGTCATATAAAAGTATAGCACTTACACTTGTGTACAGTGCATAATACTTGATAATGATAATAAACAACTATGTTACTGATTTATGTATTTACTACACTATACTTTTTATTGTTATTTAGAGTGTCCTCTTTCTATTTGTATAAAAAAAGTTAACTATGAAACAGTATGCTGTGCTACATCAGCAGCAGCCTCGTATATCTCATGTTTACCGCTTCTCTTGATTGCATCATTTTCTCTTGTGCTTGATTTAATCCTGGGTTGTTTTGTTTATCATGGCACCTAAGTTTACAAAATACACTGTTAAGGTTGCCAGGAAGAGGCCATGTGAAGTGATTGACCTGGAAATGAAATTTAAGGTGATTAAGGACAATGAAGGTGGAAAATCAGTGATGGTTGTTGCTCACCAGTCAGGCATGTCCCATTCCACCATAGCTACGATCCTAAAGAATAAGAACAAAGTGATGGAAGCTTTTAAAGGATCTGCCTCACTGAAGGCAATGAAACTAACAAAAATTCAAGAAGGGCCTACATCAGATCTGGAGAAACTTGTAATGACCTGGATTGAAGACCAGACACAGAAGGGTATTCCTCTCAGTACCATAACAATCATGGCCAAATCAAAAATTTTGTTTGTGATGGTGCAAGAAAAGACTGGACCCTACTGTGATATTGAATTTACTGCTAGCTCTGCTGGTTTAAGCAGTTCAAGAATCATTATCATTCATAATGTGAAAGGGAATGGTGAGTCTGCAGATGCTGATGTGAAGACAGGTGAAGAACATTTGGAAAGTCTAGATAAGCTGATTGTGGAGAAAAATTACTTGCCAGAGCAAATATTCAATATGGATAAAATCTCCCTATTCTGGAAATGGATGCCTGGAAGGACTTTCATCCATAAGGAAGCCACGTCAATACCAGATGTCAGGGCTTTGTTTGGGGGGTGAAGATTAGCTCTGAGCTAAAATCTGCTGCCAATCCTCCTCTTTTTGCTGAGGAAGATTGGCCCTGAGCTAACATCCATGCCCATCTTCCTCCACTTTATATGTGGGACGCCTGCCACAGCATGGCTTGCCAAGCGGTGCCGTGTCCGCACCTGGGATCTGAACTGACGCACCCCAGGCCCCCAAAGCGGAACGTGCGAACTTAACTGCTGTGCCACCAGGTCGGCCCCGATTTCAAGGCTTTTAAAGATCAGACCTTCCTGCCACTAAAGAACTCAAGGTAGCAAAAAAAAAAAAAAAAACAAAAAAACCAAAAAACGGAAAGAATGAATGAAAGAAATCAACCTGTGAATTACCATAAAAGTTTTTACCTTGCATTAGATCTCCATAATGGAATTATCTAGAGGGCAGGTGTTGGCACGAGCACATGTTTAAAATGTGTTCAATACAATTAGAGCACATTTTAGGTACACGATAAACATAAAATGAAGACATTATGGTTAGGAGTGTCCACCAACCTGGAGAACTGTTAGGAAGGCATGAGCATAATTTCCCATGCTTATCTCATTGGTACAGGATCAGCATCCACTGTTGCAAAAATGGTCTCTCCATAAGCAATATCTTGACCATCAAAGACCTTGCCAAAACTAGAAATTTGGAAGCAATAATGGATTCTTGTAGTTCGCTTCCCTTACCTCTTTTTTATTTGTCCTGCTATAAACCTCAAAAGACCATATAAAACTATATTTATGAGCCAATTTAGAATTCTAGCTAACTCTCTACCTGACTAGATGTCTGACTAAATTATCGTCGCTGGTGGTGGTCAGTATGCAAAAGAATTGCTGAGTCCCTACAACCCAATACTCTGATTCACAAAGGGAGGGGTGAACTGCAGGAATCTGCATTTAAAGAAGCTTCCCAGGTAGTTCTTATGCCAGTAGTCCACAGGCTACTTTGAGACCTATTGACCATTGAGAAAATAGCACAGTGATGCTGTTGGATACTGGAAATGAATGAGATCATGGAACATATGCTGCCAGTACACATTATCAGGGCTTCAATTCTCCAGCACCAGTTGAGAAAGAGCTCCATTGAGATAATGCCATCTTGCATAATGGAAAACCTCAGTCGTATATGATTCTGAAACTCATTACAGTCACTGAAGTCTCCAAGCAAGTTCCAGGGAAAGAAATAACTGAATCTCATTTAAGAATTATTTGCCACCCTTTAAAATAAGAACAGTGAGGCTTCTTCTCTTTTGGAGATTAGGGTTTATTTTCTCCAGAAATGAACCCTAAGTAATCCAGGTTCTGGCAGAGAAAGCAGGCAGAGAAAGGTGTTGCAGATGAGACTGGGAGATGAAGTGAACATCACACACTGGTGGGCCCCCCAATTCCTTTCTCATCATGCTCCCAGAAAGCCAGCCTTCAGGTCAATATGCACTTCCACATAGAGGATTATGGGAAAACTGAACAGTCCCAGAGAGAAGACCTACAGATGCTTCCATTTGGTGATCTCATGCTGAAAAGTCTTTTCTCACCTGAATGACCTTCATTTCCTCCAAGAAATATTTATTCAACATCTAATGAATGCTGGACACTTCTAGATGCTTCTGATATTGTCATCATCAGAACAGACATACAGGGGCTGGCCCTGTGGACAAGTGGTTAAGTTCACGCACTCTGCTTTAGGGGCTCAGGGTTTCACCAATTCGTATCCTGGGTGCAGACATAGCACTGCTCATCAAGCCATGCTGAGGTGGCATCCCACATAGCACAGCCAGAAGGACCTACAACTAGAATATACAACAACTATCTACTGGGGGGCTTTGGGGAGAAGAGGAGGGAAAAAAAAAAAAGGCTGGTAACAGATGTTAGCCCAGGCGCCAATCTTTAAAACAAGAAAGATATACAGGGCTTGCGAGCCAGCCCTGATGGCCTAGTGGTTAAAGTTCGATGCACTCTGCTTCAGTAGTCCGGGTTTGTTTCCCAGTTGTGGAACCACACCACCCAACAATCAGTTGCCATGCTACGGTTGCAGCTCACATAGAAGAGCTAGAAGAACTTAGAACAAGGATATACAACATGCACTGGGGCTTTGGGGAGGGAAAAAACAAAACAGGAAGATGGCAACAGATATTAGCTTAGGGTGACTCTTTGCCTGCAGAGAAACAAACAAACAAACAAGACAGATATATAGGACTTGCTTCAAACATACATGTAATCAAAACATATACAAAAACTTGCCCTCGTGGAATTTGGGTTCTGTAAAAGAGAGACAGACAATAAAAAATAAGTAAACAATAAATTTGAAGGATGTTGATAAGTGTTCTGGAAAAAAGCACAGAGATAGAAAGCGTCAGAGTTGCAATTTTAAACAGAGTTGTCAGAGAAATGCTGAGAAGGTGACCTTTAATCAACAATTAGGATCACAAAATATATTTTTTGTATTCTACATACATTATATCATGAGTATATTCTCATATAACTAAATATTGACAATATTATTTAATACTTATATATGTACATTTCATATAATGTTAATAAAACAAATGTCTGTGTAACCACCATTCATGTAAAGAAATTAGACATTCACAATAATTTAGAAGTTTTCCAAATGATCTTCAATATTACATACCCATTTCTCTCTATTCATAAATAATTGCTATTGACTTTTCTAATAATCATTCTTTTGCTTTTTTATATTAAAAAATTGTACCATGGGGCTGGCCCCGTGGCCGAGTGGTTAAGTTCGCGCGCTCCGCTGCAGGCGGCCCAGTGTTTCGTTGGTTCGAATCCTGGGCGCGGACATGGCACTGCTCATCAAACCACGCTGAGGCAGCGTCCCACATGCCACAACTAGAAGGACCCACAAAGAAGAATATACAACTATGTATTGCGGGGGCTTTGGGGAGAAAAGGGAAAAAAATAAAATCTTTAAAAAAAAAAAAAATTGTACCATAATTTTAAATAATTATGATTAAATATCCTGTAATTTATTTAATCGAGTCTTATTGTATGACATTTAGCTGGTTTCTAATTTTTTACTATTTCAAATTGAATCCCTGGATTACCATTTTGGTTAAGCTGTTATTTCTCTGGGTAACTATTACTCTCCAATTTTCCTATGAATCATATGCTTGCCAACTACACATCAAGAAATTAGCAAGAAAGCAATAAATATATGAGTGAGTGAATGAGTAAATAAGTGAGTAAAAAGGTTATATTCTCAAAACAAGTCATCTTTTTATATATAGAAAATGTTGGTTGTGAATGTACATGATGTCCGGTCCTTAAGAAACAAAACAAAAGTAACCCTGTGTAAAGTGCTCAGACTATGTGAAAAGTCTGATCAAATGAAAGGAAAATGTGTAATAACTAATCCCCTCCCCACCATCACAGGGACTGGAAATCAAAGATTCGTCGGAAAGATTCCATTTTACAAGGGAAATTTGCTACAGTGATAATACTAGAGAGGTCAGCTCTAGTCCAAAAAAGAGCTTTGATGGAGAGGCTGACCTAAAATAATAGAGGACTATAGAAGAGGTTATCTTTCAACATAAAGCTTGTGTCAGAATATTTCAAAAATAAGAAACTGATTTTCCTAAGAAAACTCCCTTATTTTACCCCTATCCGTCCTCCTCCACTCCTAATACCCTTTATTTCTGTATTAGAAATGTTTGGGTTGGAAGTACAAAGAAATAAGCAAACTGAAAAAAAAAAAAAGATTCTGCCTAGTCTATGGTGGGGGTTGGGGGAATAGTGAGAGGAATCTGGGGTTGCTTATAGAACTACAGGAAAAGCCAGAGAACCATGCTTCAGAAAGGACAGGAACCAGATCAGCCCCTACTATCTCTTTTACTCTCCTGTTCCTGCCACCTGGAGTCTGCTTTTCTGGGATCAAGGAAGGGAGAGGATGCGAGGGCACTTGTTATTTTGAATACTCAAAATGACACACCCATCCTACCCTTTAACTTTGTACGTAGTTTCTATAAAATGCCTTAGTTCTCAGTCCAAAGATACTTTAGAAGAATTTCTCTGCAAAAGATACATAAATGAGATACATTATTCTTCTAGTTTCCTTCTTCTTTGGAAGACAGGAGCTGGAAAGAATGAAACGTGAACATAAATATAAAAGAAGATATCAGCAGACGAAACATGCTTTTATGACAGTTGTTGTGAATGTGTTAAACTCCACAGTTGAAGGACAGTAATAATAAAACTTAATTTGGGTCAAAGGCCAAACCCCAACTATTTATAATTTACTGTAGACAGACTCCTTACAAATACTGTAGGGAAACCTAAATTAGAATTTTAAGTAAAGAATAGCAAAACAAATAAAAAGCTATTTTATATTCATCAAAGCTACAGTTTGGAGTGAAAATTTAATCCCCACAAAACTTTATGTATTCAGTGACAGTGGAAAAATAAATAAAAAGCTGATAGATGTTCATGGGGAAACTGATGAACACGTCATGAAAAGCTTTAGCCTTTGATTTTGAATTTTAAAGAAGATGAACAGAATTTGGATAATTCTAATAAAAACATGGACTTAAGATAGCTATGGTGTGTTATACACAGACTATGTATTTGTTAGATGCCCTTGAACATTTACAAAAATTGATTAAATAGGTGATAAGGAAAATCTTAATATATTTCAAAAAGTTTCAGAAAATTGTAGCCAAAAAAGAAAAACCCGGCGTGGATTTCATGATCAAGATGAGAGTAACGATCTTTTAGAGGAGGGATTTTTAAGTTTTTATTTTCCATATCTTCTCCTGTGATAAGCTTTGAGCCTCATATTTTTGCCATTATTTTTCTACTTTACACATCCAGCTAGGTACTTGGCTAAATCTCTCAGTGAGAAGAACTTGATCACTCCACTATCTGTGTTGTTCATCTTCCAAATAGGCCACCCAACCACAAGGTCAGGGAGCCTCACTGTAGATACCAGTGGAGGGCTGTGGGGGGGACAAGGAAATGCTGTTGGCAGTTTTTGCCTAGAAATATTCTTGATTATAAAAGGAAAGGGATAAACACAGAACCATTTTATTTATCATGTAGCACACTTACATTGATACTCTGACTTATTCCAGGACATTTTAAAGGAGATTTTGAAAAATGCATACAATATAACATGATAGCAAAAGTTAAAAGTGGAGCTAGGGTAGAGAAGGACAAAAAACAAGATGTCAGGGAATAAAATGAAGACAGGATTGAGAATAAACAAACATACAGACTTCTTTCTTTCCTGAAAACAAAGGAAGGAAACATCAATTGAACACTGAATTTTGAAAGCCAGCTTTGGTTCATATGGCTTATTTT